ATTATTTGGCTTTTATTTTTGAATTATGATATTTATTGGTTTGGTTTGAAAAATAGATACATATATGTATATATAAGTTAACAATAGTTAACTAAGTCAGTCTCTTGAACTGCCAAAATTGCAACCTATGCAGTTTGGATTTCTGAATGACCGACAGCCGCAATTCAACACCTTGCAGTAGCCACCGACCGTGTGACCGGCGGATGTAACGCAATGCCTTACACAAGCTTAGGCGTCAGCAGAAACTTAGAAAAGCAGCGTCAAAGGCAGTAGCGGCGATAGTAATAGTAGGTTATAAATAAGAGAAATGTTATTTTAATAAAACAGTTTAAGAACGGAACTCAACTTGTGCTTATTTAAAAATAACATAATTCCGTGGTAGTCGACAACACCGTCGCTAGTCGCATAATCGGAAACATTATTTAAATAGTTAGTGGGTAGTCGACAACACCGTCGCTACCAATCACAACGCACATAAGTATTCAAACTACTTATAGTAAAAGTAGTGATTATAAATAAATAACTATTATTTAAATAGTTCGTGGTATCGACAACACCTCGCTACCGAATAAAAGAACAATAAAGTTTAAAGAAATAGAAATATAACTGGCCCAACGTGGGGCTCGTGAAAAGTGCTGTCAAAAATAATAATAATAACAAAACCCATCGTCATTGTCGCGGTACATAAAATTCGTCGTTACGAGAAAAGTACTGAATTTAATCCGCAAATTGCCATTCCAAGAAGAAGATTAGCAACGTGCAAGAAGGAAGATCGGAACCAAGGAGGAAGAAAGAAGATCACAATCAACGTAGAAGAAGAAAAATCTCAATATAATTAGTAAAGAAACCCTTTCATATCCGCCATATCACTCTAGTAGTATTTGTATTCTGTAACTGTATGACTGTGTAACTGTCGACTTAACTAACGAATCAACGCGGATCTCCTCTTGGAACATTTCTCTTATTTATAACCTACTATTACTATCGCCGCTACTGCCTTTGACGCTGCTTTTCTAAGTTTCTGCTGACGCCTAAGCTTGTGTAAGGCATTGCGTTACATCCGCCGGTCACACGGTCGGTGGCTACTGCAAGGTGTTGAATTGCGGCTGTCGGTCATTCAGAAATCCAAACTGCATAGGTTGCAATTTTGGCAGTTCAAGAGACTGACTTAGTTAACTATTGTTAACTTATATATACATATATGTATCTATTTTTCAAACCAAACCAATAAATATCATAATTCAAAAATAAAAGCCAAATAATATTTTAATATATACTCCTATTCCAATAGAAATGGACGTAGAAGATACCCACAGCTCTCCCAAGACTGTTAGGTCCGTAACTTCTGCGCCTAGAGCATCTGGACCACCCATCGCAGCACCAAGGATGCAAAGAGCCAACAGTTTGATTAGCATCTGCTTCCACGATGCAGTCTTTGCCATCGACCTCACGTCCTGAAGATGGGTGCACCATCTTCAAGAGCATGAAGCCCGCTCAACGCCAACAGATCGCCAGAGCCCACGGACACAAAGCTCCACCTTTGACTGTATAATCGAAGGATGGTGTCAATATTGCCAACGCATTACACTTTATTCCATCGATTCCCTCGACGAAGAAATCCGTCCACATCGCAGACCAGTCACCGGCACAGACAACAAGGGAATCCCGTCCAGCGTCAAAGAGTATCTGATCCCGCGACATTTTGCAACTAAGCACACAACCCACCATACAACATCATACAACACAATGCAACATCATACACCAACTACAACACAACCATATACAACTAACCAACCACACTATACACCGACACTTCAATCATAATCTTTTTCACCACCCAAATAAACAAAAAGGATTGTGCAGACCAGAATGGTCTCTTTTTGTTTCTCGACACCCGTTCGTAAAGCGAAAACGTAGCAGCGCAGTTTGTACGGAAGTGCCCTAAAGTGAATATCCAAATCAAGTGTATTTAACATTAAAAAATTTAAAAATATTATATTGTAATATATAAAAGATAAATTGTATTTTAATTATATTTGCTAACCGAATTCTGAAAGAATAAAAAATAAAAGCAAACTGAGTAACCAAACATATACATATCTTCATTTTGAGTGGCTGCTATTTTATATGGCATTTATATGTTACATTGGTCCGATCTGAACAATATGTTAAAAACAAGACAATTTTTTTGTTCTGCCAAAAATAAAGTTTATTTAAAAAAAAGTGAATATACCAGAAAAATATATAAAAACAGAAATCCTTATTTGCTTATATAAATATGAAATGAAATGCTCCAAAATTTTATAAAACGCAAAAAATCAATTTCGTAGCAAGAATCATTCATTTGCAGAAAAGTCTACAGCTATTATATTAATCAGTTACTACTTGTTTGGGTCTCCTTTGCCTGTACAATTGTCTCCAACCGATTGTTCATGGAAAATACGAAATTTTTTGTGGTTTCAACCGTTATTTGAATCCAATCATACACCATTTTTTAGTTCCTATTTACTCCTGTATGCAGGATTTTAATTCATCCCACAAATTTTCTATCGGTTTAAGTTCCGGTGATTTAAGAGGCGAATGGAGCTGTTTCGGTACATTATAAAGTAAACACGCCTTAACAATATGGGATGTTGATAATACCAGGAAATACCCAACTTGCTTGCAAAACCTTACTAATTGCTTGTCTGAAAGTTCAAATGAACACAGTTCATTCGCCGGCATGCAGCCTTATAATTGTCCTGAGCCACGGCCGTGTAGGGCAGTAAATTGCCAGAATCAACTAGACAGCGAATTCGTAGTTGCCAGAATGTTCTAGTGGCGAAGTTTTGTTAAGGGCTAAGGGCTGCCGAATTCTGCAGCACGCACATTTTTATTGCAGTATAACACAGGGGAAACACTCATAAACGAAACTCTTAATAGGGATGTGACTCCAAAATGAAGAAGATTTTTGGGCCAACCGCAAAAATAAAACGGTATAGTGGGAGAAGGTGTTCTGTGAAATCAAAGATGTTTATAGCTGGTTCCGTTTCAGTCGGGATGACATAACCCGGAAATATCTAAATATGATGACAAAATATCTCAAAAACAACTCATCCGGTGAAGCAGCTAACAGCTGGGGATATTATGAAGATTTCGACGATGTGCATGGTACGCATCGTGACGTCGTGGTTCCTCCCAATTTATTGGAATCCAGTTTAAATGAGTCATTAGAGATGGTATTGGATGGCGAGAGTGGTAACCGAAATTCTACTCTGCCTCCTAAGTCCAAGCGACCAAGATGTGAAGTTTTGAAAATGCTGCGAAATGAACACCATTAATATGAAAAATGTTTGAATAAATTTTCGGAAATTGAAAAAGAGTGAAGGCAAGTGGAAAAAGTTGGCAGAGATGATAAGGCTTCGCAAAGTTTTAATGGCAGTGAGTCAAAATTAATAATAAAAATTTGCTAACATAACATTATTTACCTCTGATATAAACTTTTATTCAATGCAAGTGATCTCAGAAGTACAAATATTTAAAAGGAATTTCTTATTATTAATATAGTAACATACATTTTATGTAATGTAAACCTTAAATACTTTTAAAATAATATATTCATGAATAAATTTGTAATAAAGTTTTCATTTTTATACTCTTGCACCATGTTGCCACAGTTATTTGTATCATCCTAAAATAATCGAGTTATATATTAGGTCAAGTAAAAAGTTCGTTCGGCGTTATTGTCCATAGTACTAAAGTTACGTGTCGCTTCATGTCATACTATACGGCGCTGAAAACGTGTTTATTCGCGCTAAAAGTTTGTCCTTGCCAGTTTTTCGATTGATTTACTCAGTTCGTTGTGAGCGCTCGTCAAAGATGGACACCAACAAAGAGAAAATTCGCTATATTTTACAATTTTTCTTCGATCAAAGCGAAAAAGCAGCCAAAGCGGCTGAAAACTTTAATTTAGTTTATGGGCCCGATACTGTAAACGAACGTGTAGCACAAAAGTGATTTGCTAGGTTCCGTTCCGGTAATTTCTATGTCAAAGATGCACCACGCGTTGGGAGGCCTGTCGTCGAAAATTGCGATAAAATCATGGAAATAGTGGAAACAGACCGTCTCGTGAGCACTTATTTAATTGCTAACTAAAGATAAGCCAGAAAACCGTTTGGAACCATTTGTATAACCTTGGATTCAAAACGGAGCTCGATGTTTGGGTGTCACACGAACGAACGCAAAAAACATGATGGACCGAATTTCCATCTGCAAATCGTTGCAGAATCGCAACAAAATCGACCCGTTTCTGAAGCGGATGGTGACTGGCGATGAAAAATGGGTCACTTATGACAACATCGAGCGCAAGCGGTCGTGGTCGAAGCTCGGGGAAGCGGCCCAGATGGTGGCCAAGACCTGATTGACGGCCAGGAAGGTTTTGCTGTGTGTTTGGTGGGATGGGCATGGAATCATCTACTGCGAGCTGCTCCCTTATGGCCAAACGCTCAATTCGGCCCTCTACTGAAAACAACTGGACCGCTTGAAGGCAGCACTCATCCAGAAGAGGCCATCTTTGATCAACAGAGGCCGAATTGTGTTCCATTAGGACAACGCCAGGTTACACACGTATTTGGTGACACGCCAGAAGCTCTTGGAGCTCGGATGGGAGGTTCTAAAGCACCCACCTTATAGTCCGGACCTGGCACCAAGTGATTACCATCTTTTCCTGTCCATGGCGAACGTGCTTAATGGTGAGAAGTTGGCCTCAAGAGAGGCCGGTGAAAATTGGCTCTCCGAGTTTTTTGCCAATAGGGACGCAGCCTTCTACGAGAGGGGTATAATGAAGTTGGCATCTCGTTGGCAACAAGTTTATGAACAAAACGGCACATATTTGACTTAAATTGGACAAATGCACACAAAGTTATCATCTTTTGAAAAATCAATAAAAAAAAAAACCGAACGAACTTTTTACTTTACCTAATATTATATAAATGTTCAGGATTAAGAGACAAGTTAAAATCCAAGTGTTTGTCTGTCCGTCCGTCCGTCTGTGCAAGTTGTAACTTGAATAAAATTGAAATTTCTTGAAGAAACTTGGTACACGTGTTTCTGGGCACCGTAAGAAGGTTGATATTGCAGATAGGCGTAATCGGACCACTGCCACTCCCACAAAACGCCATGAATCGAAAACCAATAAATTGCCATAACTAAGCTCCACAATAAGATACAAGACTGTTATTTGGTACAACGAATACTCTTTAACGTTAGCTGTTACTGAGTGCGGTCGTGTATAAATTTGCTCCGTAATTTTGCGTGTTGTTCTGGTCGAATCCAGTTGTCAGAAAAGTATGTACGCACTAGAAACAGGTTAAAGAGATAGAAACCGGCATACAGCAACAAAACAAAATAAGTTCTACTTTTGGCGCGAGATATAAAAAAAACAGCTGACCACATATAAAATTTATAAGCCTAAAAGTATGCAGCAACTTTGTCTTGCTGCAATTGCTGGGGAAGAATAGAGCAGCCAACTATAATATTAATAATAACAATTAAAGTATTAAAATGAGTGCACAACGGCTAAACCCGCAAGACCGAAGGCTCTCTAATGCCTATTTTACTATTGTTGCGCCAACATCAAGTCTAGCCCAATCAAAAAGTATAACTATAAGAAAATGCAATTGAGTGCAGCTAGTGATAAATTCAAAGAACCCTAAGTAGCAACAGATTTGCTTTACTAAATGAAGACAATAATGCACAAGTGAAGGGTACTCCCACGGTTGGAAATACCAAAACTCCACCAAATTACTTGCGCGAACGTAGCTCAAGTATGTTGGTAAATAGCATTATCAGAATCGTTGGCGCAAACATCATTCATGGAATGCCTTTGAGAAAAGGTAATATTGATGAGACACAAATTCAAACATATACGGCAAAAGGATTTATGCAAGTTGTAAGTTGTTTATCATTTATTAATTATTACTCATATCAACTGAAAAGCTCTAAAGGTCTCACTGTTATAATTAAGGGGATAGAATCCACAGTCAAGGCGGATGAAATAAAAGTGACTTTTGAAGAAGCTGGTTTTAATATTAAATCTGCTTTAAATATATTTAGTAGAAAAAAAGTACCCCAGCCAATGTTTAAGGTGAAACTATATCCCAATTCAAATGAAACTCAGCCCATCTATAGTTTGAAATATTTGCTACATCGCAGGGAACTGTAGAAGAGCCACAGAAGAGAAATGGTCCAGTTCAATATACCAACTGCCATGAATTCGGCCATATAAAATCCTATTGCACACTACGCAGTGTTGATATTGCAAGCAATTTCAGAGAGTGAAAGTTAAAATATGCACAGTAATTGGCAATTGCTTTTACAAATTTAAGAAATAAAGAGCAAAGACGTTACCTGTATATCAGGAAAAATAAAAACATAAAGATTTTGAGAATAATTGCAATATGTAAAAAATTTTTTGCGGTAATCAAAGAAATGTCAAACGACATGTTTTCAGAATGCAAAAACGTACATTTGAGAAAAATATTAACTTAATAATATTGAAAACTCTATAGAAATTACGTGGAATGGTAAAGCCAATTTGGCCTTCAGCGAAAACGAGACACCCGGGTATTCAAATTGATGAAGGCCTTCTTATAACTATTTACATACTAGGCAATCAAAATAGCTTTAGAAAATTGAGAAACGTGGGATACAATTTCAGTGATAGTTCAAGTAAGTTTTTGTTTGGAAGCTGTACAATTGAAAATTATACAATATATATGTCAATTGTGAATTTTAGTCAGTTGTCGATAGTAATCTTCATATGTCATAAGGCAGTTCGATCTAGAAAGGTGATGCACACCCTCTTAAAACTTGGCTTGCGGTTCTTTAAAGCGACAATGGATTTCTTTCGAATTAGCAAAAGTTTACCTACATTTTAAGATCCACAAGAGAGTGCGTCGAATAGGCATTCGATAATCTTAAAAAAATCCGCATTTAAATTACGTGGATGTTTAAAATATTAATCTACTCAAGTGCATAATGTAAATGTAAAATTACTTGTTTAGCCAGACTATATATTGTTCAACAATTCCATAAAAGCAGAAAGCGCGTTAGAAGCGTGAATAATTAACCAATTTACTATCGGCTTAACTTTGTAAATATAGAACTCTAAGTTTATGTACTGAATTTATACTTAAACAAGTAAGTTTGGGCTAAGTTTCGGAACATTTTATACTCTTGCAACTTGCAACGATCAAAGCAGGGGAAATACCTTCAGGTGTGGCAAATCTTTATAACAAAAAGTATTCCGAAAATATCAGAATTCATTATTCGACGAAATCTTGAACGGATTATAATAAAATTTAGTATTTTAATAAGTTATGTTATAGGCCATCGATTCACTTAGTTTTATAACTATATTTTACTGCCCGTCAGCGAAAACTATATTAAAATTATCTTGAAATAGGATATATATGATCTAAACTCAAACAAAAATACTAAATTAATATATTGAGATGATGTGAAAATATGTACACCAGAGGATGGAAATTCATTATATTAGGGATACGAGCTTTATATTATATTAATATAATTTTATAAAATTGAAGACAACTTGTCCACTTTATTTTATTAAATCTTCACACATTTTAACCAGCCTAAACGGTTTATAGAGAACCGGTGCAGAGAAAGGTCTAAGCTTGTTGCACTAACCTTTGACATTGTTAAAGTATACTCGAGAACATATTTTCAATCAATTGTATAAATAAATAACTCACACAATGACCGACATTTTCGGTAGAAGGTTTGGAAAAGTAACAACAAAAAAAAAAAAAAAAAAAAAAAAAAAAAAAAAAAAAAAAAAACTTATTTTATGTACATAAGTATGCAGTATATGGAAACTGGTTATTTCGTATACTAAATTCACATTTTTTCAGCGTTAGGCTGTTTCATGCTGGTACCTCACATACCATCAACAATATGTAAGGAATAAAGTCGACCGCATGTTTGAAACAGATGCACCGTTATGAAAAAAATACGCCCACTCAATTTTGGTAAGATATGAACTATGTGCAATATGTGCGGTATAAAGTCATCCGGAAGTTCGAAAATCTCTCTACTAAGTATACCATATGGAATCAGGAAAAGATTCCATCCGAATTCCAATCTAATAAATTGAACAATACTTTTGGCTCCACATCTTCGGTATATGGGGAGTTGAACAGTTATGGCCCGATTTTGAAAATTATTAGATTTGAAATAGCATATAAAGAAGGCAATCTTTTTATAAAATTTTAATTATTAGTGCTTAATTTGAATACTGGAAAGTCAAAATATCGGATGGCATATGAATTTGTGTTAATATGGTTGTATTTTAATTTTTGAGGCTTCCTTAGTTGGGGGACCTAAACTATACATTTACCAAATTCATAAAAAACTCGCACTTTAAATTGTTGAATTTTTGTATATTGTATGTACATATGTATATTTTCTCAATCAAAACAACCTCTTCTATCCGTAGATACCCATTTTAACACCGAATTCTGGGGACGCTCTTTTAAAATTTACCCATGAGTCTTTTATATATAACATATATTTTTCAACATTATTACGCATATTAGCATACGTATGTATGTTGTGCACTTACTCTTAATTGTATGTGTCTGAGATTATTAATTTAAAACAAATCAATCACAATTGGCTTACTCCAAAAACGTACTTACTTATATGTACTATGTACTACGTAACTTAGAAAGACGTCCCCTAAAAAAACTTTCCATTCCCAAAGTCTTGAGTTCGATCACTAAGCCGTCCCCAAATAAAAGCGGCAGCTATAAATTAATGTCAAACATTCCTCATACCCATAGATATTATATTGCCTATGGTGTAAACAAATTTTACATATTGCTGTGCCAAATGGACAGTAGAGGTTCAAAAAAAAATTTGATATATGAACATTATATTGTAACGAATTTCTCGATAAATCGTCTAACTGTAACTCACTCTTGAGTTCGATAACTAAATTGTTAAATTAAAGTTCCAATTTAATGGCTATACACTTATCTTTACTTTTATTTCCAACAACTTAACACTTATTGCTCGATATTCCAGTTTACAACTTATTGCTTATAGCTTAATTGCTTTTACACGGCAATACTCTAATTAGAACCCTGTCTGCTGCACAATCCGGCAGCCCTTATATAGTAAATTTTTAACAAAAGTTCGCTACTGGAACATTCTGGCAACTACGAATTCGCTGTCTAGTTGATTCTGGCAGTTTATCGTCGATTCTGATTTGCCTGGTATTCGTGTTCGCCACACTGCCCTCTACCTAAGTCTGATCGTCCCGATTAGACATATTTGCGGTACCAAACCCTGCAAGCCGTTCCTGATAAACCACCTTCATTTTATTCCTTGGTCTTCCAATGGTCTGTATGCGCTACACTACATCATTGAATCGTTTAATAACCTGGTATGGTTCTTCCCAATTACACTGTAATTTGGGAGATAACCCTTTCTTTCGTTGTGGGTTATATAACAATACCCAATCGCCTTCAATAAAACTCTCAGGGTTCATTACATTGTCGTATTTTGCTTTCATCTTATCGCTCATAATTTTGGTGCGCCGTCTCACCACTTCATGTATATCCCTCATCTCGTCTTCTATAATGCTATTGAATTCCTTAGTATTCCTTCCTCCGTTGGCGTTAATTCCAAATTTTAAATCAATCGGTAGTCGAAGATCATTACCAAAAATTACCCTTGCTGGAGTCTGCCCCGTTGTTTCATGTACAGCAGATCGATAAGCCATCAGGAACAAGGATATATGGGTATCCCAATCTTTCTGAGACTTGTCCACAACTTTCCTCAAATGTTCTTCCTAAGTTCGATTGAATCGTTCTAACATGCGATCGGACTGCGGATGTAGTGCAGTTGTACGGGTTTTTCGGATACCCAGCTTCTGACATATCTCCTGTATTAGAGCTGATTCAAAATTTCTTCCTTGGTCAGAATGTAATTCTATTGGAACACCATATCTCGATACCCAATTGTTGATGAATACATCCGCTACTGTTCCTGACTCTTGGTTAGGAATTGCGTATACCTCTGGCCATTTGCTGAAATAGTCCATGACTACCAAAACATATCTGTTTCCTAATTTACTGATAGGAAATGGACCAGCTACATCCATGGCTACTCGCTCAAACGGCTCACCTGAATTGTACTGCTTCATCTGACCATGATTGCTGGATCGCGGCCCTTTAGCAGCAATGCCTTCGAAACAATTGGCGATCCACTCCGTAACTGATTGACGACAACCAACCCAATAAAATCTTTGTTTTAATTTCTCAAAGGTTATAGTGATACCCGTGTGTCCTCCACTTGGACCGTAGTGCAGCTCGTTGAGAACTTCAGGAATTCTTACTTTTGAAACAATCATCAGAGCTCGTGAACTTTGCCCATCTTCGCTTTCCCATACTCGATGCAAGCCAGACACTAACTTCAAACTATTCCATTATGCCCAATAAGCCTTTGCGACTGGGTTTTCTGCAGCTATTTCTTCTCTCGTTGGATGTTTATTCATCTCCAAATCTGGATCCTCTTGCTGACATTTCCGTAGTTTTTCCGGATCCCAGCCTGATGTTATAGTCATTAATCGGACATCTATAATGTCTTCTTTAGCCTCAGCTTTGCGTTTACGTCCAACTGGATTATTGGGCTGGTTACAGTTGTGTGCAATATTGACGACTGTTTGCACGACGTCAAAGCGTCACAACATTGTGTTGTTGATAGAAAATCCGAGCTGTGCCGAAAAAAATAGTTTGAAAGCCAAAAACTACAGAATACAAAATAAAAGAGTTGTAGGGAAATGCAAAAAGGAAAGAAGGCCTCTGGTTCTCGGCTTGCGTTGCATAAGCTACATGCTTCGGAAAATGCTGCAATGTTGCTGCTAATGTGGCCAGCGACACAGTGGAGGACGGCCGCGCTGAGGTTCCGTCGTTTTTGCTGAGCAGGGTGGTAGTCGTCGAGTACCACTACGAGGAGCGGTTGCCGCTGTGGTTCGTGGCGCTGAAAAGTGGTTCGCTATGAAATTTTCACCAAAAATCTAAAAAAATAGTTTAAATGTATAGTAAAACAAATTGGCTACATCAGAGGACTACATTCTATAGCTCACATAGCACGTATGGTATATGGCGATGATGCGCAAAAATACTTCTCATGGTAGAGAGCCTCAAAATTTTTAATAAGGCTTTGCAAAAATATTTAAGAAAGTGGGGAAAAACTGAATATGATTTGTCGTTAAATTCTTCCCCATCCAACCTCCATGCTTCCCCTATAAATAAGAGTAAGTTAGAAATAAAGAGGTCAGTTATCCATCAGGACAACAAATATAATTGTTTTTGATTTCTTCCGCGTTTCGTGCGGAAAAATTTAAATATTTTTAATACTTCCTTATAATGGCAAGTTAATTGGTGCCCAACAACGAGAAAATATCTAGTATCCCTAGCCGAAAGGATAATAACAGTGACGCGTGTCGAAAAACTTAACAAACAAGTATCCTCTCAGGAGGAAAAAAGTAAAAAACCAACAACGTGAGTCGTTTTCTCAATGGTAAAATTCCACTAGTGAATAAATTTTGTACAACAACTGAAAGAAAAAAACTACAACAAATATACATCAACATGTGTATCAACATGTGTATGAAATATAAAAACTACAAATTATAATATAAAACCCAACATTAATAATAGAAGAGCCAGAGCAAAAAAATAGCGAAAAAAACTTCGGCGGCCCAAGGCACACAAATCTCGAGCGAACAACCAAACCAAACGCAAAGTAGTAAGTAAATATTTTAAATATATTTAAGATATATTAAATTTATAACATTAAAATTGTATACAAATTTTGTGATATAACCCCATTAATATAAAATATTTTAAGCTTAAGTACAGTGAGTATTGTAAATCTGATACGTACGAAACTTACAAGTATTTAAATTATTGTAAAAAAAAAAACTTGTTCTAAATGAAGCCTGGTTTCAAAAAAATTGGGCAAACTATTGGAAGACCGTATTCTTCTGTCCAGCGTGTCGTAAACAATTTAAAAAAACCCGGAATTTTAACGTCAATACCGCGATCTGGCCGTCCGAAAATATTAAGAAGAACGGAAAATAATAAATATGGTGAAAGTTAACCCTCCAATTACGTCCACAAAGATGATTGAAAACGTAAATATAACCATCAAAAAAACCATTTGTGCCGAAACCGCTAGAAAAATTTTACGAAAAGCTGGATATCATGGTAGAGTCACTCGAAAGAAACCATTTATTATATTTCACTTGTAAACAGGCGAAAGCGCATTGAATTTGTTCATAATTATATAAATAAGTCGCGGATGAAAGTAAATTTTGTATTTTTGGCATAAAAGGTCGACAAATTGTGTGGCGCAAGTCAGGAACTGCCCTTGAAAAGCAAAATCGGGTTGGTACAGTTAAACACGGAGGTGGCGGAATTATGGTGTGGGGTTGCATGGCGGCTGGTCAGATTGAATTTATTGAATCCACAATGGATAAATGGGGTTATTTAAACATTTAAAAAAACAATTTGAAACAAAGTGCAGAGAATCTTGGATTATCTTCGACGTTTTGGTTCCAGCAAGATAATAACCCGAAGCAAAAGGTGGCAACACTTCAAGCTCTTAAGCTGTAATTTTTTAGCTGTGTACATTTGTGTTTTTATTTTAAAAAATTCTTGAATTTTAACTGATTTTTATTACCGTGTTAATACAAATTTTTAGTGATTAAACTTTCATGATAAGTATTAAATGTTCTGTTTTGTGCGGTATTAAAAAGTATTAAAAAGTTTCCAATTTTTGGTGCCGAGTCAGCCTTTCTTTAATTTTGTTTTATTTTTTTCTATTTTCTCACTTTGTTTATCTTATTTACTTCTTTATTCACAGCTGTGTTGCGTTTAGCTTTTTATTTGTTACAGTGCTTCTAAAACTGCTCGCTATATTGCTTCTTCAAATTGTCTTGGTTTTAAACTTTGATAAAAAAAAAATTGTTCTTAATTTAATTTATTATTATTAATATTTTATTAACACGCTAATTTATAATTTTGTTCTACCTGTTCTTTTATTTTATCTTCATTCTTTTGGTTTATTATGTCTTGTAACTTCCCCAATTGTAACATTAAAGGCGAGTCAGATCGCTACGTTTCATGCTGGCTTTGTGTTGGGCTTGCCCATATTAAATGTGCTGGACTGACTGGTAGAATCTAAGATTCTATTATCGACTGTAAGGCATTGCGTTGGTCCTGTTTAAATTGTAGATCTATTGAAATCGATCTATTTAAAGTTTATAGGGAGACACGCAATGGCTTTAACGAAATCGGTCGTGATCTTGTAAGCCTCACTGAAAAATTTAGGCACTATGAAAAATTGTTCAAATCCTTTAAGTGCCTGAATGATTCTCACGAATCCTCTAAACCTGCTCCTAAGCGTAAACGTCCTTCCGATGAAGTAACACTTAGTTCTTTTCTGTACACTGTTCAGAAAAGAACGTCTCTCCAATGACTAATAAATCTTTCTCTCCTTGCCCTCAAGGTGATAAGCCGTCAACTTCAAAGAGCTCAATTCCCCAAAACTCTATCTATAGTAATAAGTGTCTCCACAATTCCAGAGGCTCCCCTATTAACTTAGTAGCATCAGTTAATAACTTGATAGTTATTCCACCTAAAAGTCTATATTTATTTCGAGACTTGCCAAAATACCTTGGTGGAGGACATTAAATCTTACATTTCGTCAGTTTAAAAATCGATGATATCAATATACGTAATTTAACTTCAATTATGATAGAAGTATATCATCGTTTAAAATAGACGTATCTCTTGAAACATTCAAAAGATCTTAGATAGTTCATTCTGGCCACCTGGGACTTTTGTACGCGAATTTAAACCTAAACTTAGAAGTCAAACTGAGGAAACACTGTTAAATTACAAAA